GAATGTCAAATTATATGCCATATCAAATGTCAAACAAATGTCAAGTCAAATTATATGCCATATCAAATATCAAACAAATGTCAAATTATATGCCATATCAAATGTCAAACAAATGTCAAATTATATACGATATCAAATGTCAAACAAATGTCAAGTCAAATTATATGCCATATCAAATGTTAAATTATATGCCATATCAAATGTCAAACAAATGTCAAATTATATACCATATCGAATGTCAAACAAATGTCAAATTATATGCCATATCAAATGTCAAACAAATGTCAAGTCAAATTATATGCCATATCAAATGTCAAACAAATGTCAAGTCAAATTATATGCCATATCAAATGTCAAACAAATGTCAAAATTATATGCCATATCAAAAGTCAAACAAATGTCCAGTCAAATTATATGCCATATCAAATGTCAAACAAATGTCAAATTATATGCCATATCAAATGTCAAATTATATGCCATATCAAATGTCAAACAAATGTCAAATTATATGCCATATCAAATGTCAAACCACTGTCAAATTATATGCCATATCAAATGTCAAACAAATGTCAAATTATATGCCATATCAAATGTCAAATTATATGCCATATCGAATGTCAAACAAATGTCAAATTATATGCCATATCAAATGTCAAACAAGTGTCAAATTATATGCCATATGAAATGTCAAACAAATGTCAAATTATATGCCATATCAAATGTCAAACAAATGTCAAATTATATGCCATATCAAATGTCAAACAAATGTCAAATTATATGCCATATCAAATGTCAAACAAATGTCAAATTATATACCATATCGAATGTCAAACAAATGTCAAATTATATGCCATTTCAAATGTCAAACAAATGTCAAATTATATGCCATATCAAATGTCAAACAAATGTCAAGTCAAATTATATGCCATATCAAATGTCAAACAAATGTCAAATTATATACCATATCAAATTATATACCAGTAACAAACCGTAGTGAATAAACCGTACGGTCGTGTCAAGTCATGTCAAGTCATGCCATGTCGTGTCTTTTGATGTTATTTCATGTTGTGTAATGTCATGTTGTGCCACACCATTTAGTGTCGCTTCATCTCACGTCATGTCAAGTGATGCCATGTGCACACCATACCAACATGTCGTGTCGTATCACTTGATGTCATGTCATGTCTTGCCAGTTCATGCAATGCCGTGTTACTTATGCCATGTTATGTCGTGCCATATCAAATGTCAAATTATATGCCATATCAAATGTCAAACAAATGTCAAATTATATGTCATATCGAAAGTCAAACGAATGTCAAATTATATGTCATATCAAATGTCAAACAAATGTCAAATTATATGCCATATCAAATGTCAAATGTCAAATTATATGCCATATCAAATGTCAAACAAATGTCAAATTATATGCCATATCGAATGTCAAACGAATGTCAAATTATATGCCATATCAAATGTCAAACAAATGTCAAATTATATGCCATATCGAATGTCAAACAAATGTCAAATTATATGCCATATCAAATGCCAAACAAATGTCAAGTCAAATTATATGCCATATCATATGCCATATCAAATGTCAAATTATATGCCATATCAAATGTCAAACAAATGTCAAATTATATGCCATATCAAATGTCAAAC